TTCTCTAAGTCCCAGAAAGTACTTTGGTTCTTTTTTTTTTTTTGATATTCAGGTGTCCACTTATGAGTTTTGATGACTAATTCTGGGGTCTACGCCTTGGTTCCTCAAGACGCAGATCAGGGAAAACACGGGATGTGCCTCAAACTGGTCAGGGTTCAAGAGCTCCCTCCACTGATCTGCCAAAGTGCCGAGAGAGTCAACGCATATTTCACCTTACCTTCCAAGAGAACTCCTGCCTTCCAGGAGAGAGTCTACTGTCTACCTTCCAGGAACCCCACGAATCGAACTCTTGACCTCTGAACTGTCAGCAACTAAGAGCCCCGTCCTTTTGCCAGTTAGAATGTGCGCCGGGGGGCAAAGTACTTTCGTTCTAGCATTGACTTTCAATGGACTACTATCAAACAAAATGTTATCCAAACCATCATTTCCAAGTTTCAGTATAACGTCTTAAAAAATGCCTTTACATCTTCAAGTTTCAGCAGAATTATTCTTCCACACACCTCAGTTTTCGAATTAGCAGATTGTATGTGTATGCATCGATGACCTAAAAAGGGATTAACACTTTCCACTGAGACAAGAAGTTGGTTTTCGGTACTATGGTCATTGTTCTTTCGACTTTGTACAAAAAATAGAAGCATTTTATTAGGTATCGCTAAATGCTGAACTGCATAAGATAGGATAAAGGATACATATGCTGCACGCAGTTTTCGTTAACAACCACGTCAATTGAAAGGCTTCCATTGTTAAGAGTAAAATATATTTTTTATTTTTTATTTAAGTAGTTCGTGGAAATAAAAAGGAAAGACATTCATGTGGATTTAAGGAATGTCAAAAGAACTGTTATATTATATGGGAGAAACGAATACAACAAATTCAAATTAATTTATTGTTTTAATAAATTCAACACAAATTAGTTTTCTTCTATCTGTTTTCATTGATAGTGAAATACGGGAGCAAGGGAAATAAAGAAAAAGAAAGTCTCATTGTATGCAATAAATGATGCAACCAAAGCATGTTATTATCCTTCCAGCTTGTGCCAACCATGCTAAATCCTTGGTTAGTTACAAGCTCAATTATTGTTTGATATAAATTATAATACAAGTAATGCTATTCAAAATGAAAACTATCGATAATCGCCCTAAGTGACTCCTATGTATCAAATTACAAACAGCCACATGTAAGCCACGTAAAACTACTACCAGTAGTTTTCATTATGAATAGCATTACTCAACAATATACATTTAGAGTTCGATTCTTGATAAAATGAAAAAATTGGGTCTACTTATTTGCTACATGTATTTGGTTTTTGGAGTTATCTCGCTTGTAGAGGATCGTGTTAAAACCACCTAGTAAAGGAAGACTTAGAGCTAATATATAGTGCATTTTTGTTAACTCGACATGATATTAGCTTTCTTTTTTCGATATTATCCCAATCTAATCATACATATAAAAAAGTCAATATCGTTTAACTTCTTCCCCTCCACCCCAAATGGATCATAACATATGATCTAAGGAATCTGAAGTATATCATCATTAGTCATAATTCTGTTCTAGGAAAAATTCATTATTGCTCACCAACCTGGCATTGGTCCTAGTGGTGGCAAACGAGCCGAGCCGAGCCGGCTCGGCTCGTTGCCCACGAGCTCGAGCTCGTGGCTCGTTATAAAACGAGTCGAGCTTGTGCTCGGCTGGTTTGCTCGTGGGCGAGCTCGGCTCG